GGCTGCTCAGAATCTGCAGGACTGAATGTTCGGTGCCCACAGCATGCTGTATTTTTCTGGCACATAGAAGGCACTTAATAAATGCTTGGTGAATAGATCTGCAAATAAATAAATTAAAATAAGTTAAAATGTGATTTCAGAGGAAAATATCCCAATGATATTTAAATTGCTCCCAGGAAGTACCCATGTTTTCCAAATTAAATCACCAGGTTTAAAATTATTCCCATACATTTGGCTTCTCCCCCAAAAGCCCTGAAGCCAAAACAACTCAACTCTTAGGGAGAACATATATTTTGTCCTCTGAAAAGATAAAGTCTCACAAAAGATAAAGTCTCACGTGTTAGCAGCAACCCTAAATTTCCGTGCTTAGAGTGACCTTTTAAATTGCCACTGTGATGTCATTAGTGTTACAATTTTATGCAAGATTTGTCACGTAATTATGTGTTAAATGGTTCTGTTGGCTCCTGCCTGCTCATTCAATAAAGCAGAGTGCATTAAGAGGATCCCATATGCATAGCTCAAGGCCACTGACACAAGAAAACTACATCCACTTCACGCCTTCCCTGCTCCATATCTCACTTGTCCTTGCAGCTGTCACCTCGAGGCCCAGCACTGAGAGGAGCTGAGAAGCCAGACCACAGAGCTGCACTTGTAGAACTGCCACTCTCCAGCTGAAGCTTCTCAAAATGAGGGTGGGCTATAAAGGATCCCACCTGTATTGATTGAGAACCCAAGAGATGGGAGTGGTGTTTGTCTCTGTGGCTGCCCATCAGAGTTACTGGACAGCCTTTTCAAAGTCCCAGCACCAAGGACCTCCCTCAGAGTCCTCCTTGGGCTGAGATGAGACCCAGCGTCAGTGTTTTTGAAGTTTTCCCAGCTGACTCTAATCCACCTTCAGAGGCGTATCCTTATGTTCCTCTTGCTCAGGGTATATCAAAACTTAGTCCTAATGAGGAAGTATTTCAGATTTTATCATCTCAATAATTTCTCTGTTGCCACCATCCCCAAAGGACAAAACTAAAAATTAAAAAAATCAATAGTCTCAATGCACAACTACAAAGCAACTTAATTGGATTGCTTTTATAAAAAGCCAAAATCAAATGCATTTGTTTTTAAGTTTAATAAGAAGGGCAAGAAAACTAGTAAGCTAATGTTTTGTTTGTGCTATTATGCACCATGCTGTACTTTGAGTTCTTGTGGATATATTATCTCACTTACTCTTCCAAATAACCCAAAAAGACAAGTATTATTATTCCCATTTTTACAGTGGAAGAAACTAAAACTCAGACACGTTACACTGCCTTGTCCAAAGTCACACATTTGGTAGGTGGTGATGCCAGGAGGCAAACAAGCAAATCGCTCCATCTGCCGTTCCTGCTCGTCTTCCTTTCCTCAGGCCATGCTGCCCTTTCTGAAAACAAAACCTTATTGAATGATAATCCAGCAAGCAATAGAAAGTTTCTGTTCATGTCAATAAAAGGAACAGAGGGCACATGTCAGGAGGAAGAAGAAGAGAAGATATCTGAAGCTGAGGGACAGATCAGGAAGATGTCAACTGTAGCCAGCCATGGGTCCTTCTGACGTCAACTGAGCTACAGCTCGTGAGGCCAACGTAACACCAGCAGTCACACTTTGCTATAGACGCTTAGATGATCCAGGCAGCAAACACAACTGCTGTGCTTCTGGGTGTTGCACTGTGCAATGGGTGAATACAGTACAGGCGTGGAGATGCTCACAGCCTAGCCAGGAAGGCAGATCTGTTCAAGCAGGACAAAATGACACCTTACTCTAACAGAAGTTCCAAGAACTGAGAGCAGAGATAAGGAGCTGCTCATGTGGATCAGATAAGGCTTTGCAGAAGAGAGGATGCATGAGATGGCTTTGACTCAGATTAACTCCTTCACCAGGCTGGGAAGGGAGGCAGAGGGAATAGCAGGAGCTGAATCAAGGAGGCAGAAGCCAGTGAGATTAGAACATGAGAAAGGACCCTTGATAAATTCGTGAGGCAAAGAAATTGTCACATTCTTACTGACTCCTTGTTTTCATTCAAGGCTGAGGTTACATCTTTAGGGCTTCTGGTTTTCAGACAATACTTGTAGTCACGCAGAAATGGTTCTGCCAGGTTCGCCCCATTCTTAGACCTTTAACGGTGGAATAAGATCAAGGTGTCCGCTCCGCTGCCCACAGTCCTGTGCTATCACTAACATAACACAGGTCTCTGCTTCATCTAGGGTTTCAAGTTATAAAATATCATAAAAGTCTGGGAAATGTTGCTTTGTATCACTTTCCTAATCACAATGCAAATGAAATGATACTTGACATACAAAGTGAACAGAATTGAGTTAATTACTTAAGAGCTTCAGTGGGACTGCCTTTGAGCTGGAAAAGAACCTCCAAACCAGCTTCCACTGACAGGCTGTGAATTTGGGGTGTTTCTTTGAAGCCTGGGAATTTTTTTCAACCTCCACAGAATCTTTATACAGTTGTCCTTAAAGCAACTTCTCCCTTTTATCTTAATTAACAATGAACCTAACAGGTTTTAAATAACAGTTTCTTTTTATGAAAAAAAAACTGGGATGGAGAAACTCCAAGTCCACTTATTGGAATAACCCAAGGAGTCATTAAGTCCTTTCCAACATGCTTTAGACAGTTAATTAAAATAAATGTCAGGCTGGGGATATAGCTCAGCAGCAGAGAGCCTGCCTGGCAAGCATGAGGTCATGAGTTCAATTCCTGGTACCAAAAAAAAAAAATTGAGCTAAAATAAATCTCTTTCATCTCCCCTTTCTTTAGTATTTTAAAACAACAGAGCTAAGCACAAATGCTAAAATGATACACAATCTGAAAAGTGTCTTAAGTATACTGAAATCACTGCAACTCCTTTTACTTTGAATTACTTCAAAGCATTTATAATTTCTGTGATGTATCTATTAAATGCTGGCTAATAACCAGTAAAGGGATAGCACGTAAGAATGTATTGCTTTATCCAGGTTCAAATTATACCAATTTTCTTTGTCTATTCTATATCTCCAGCACTTTAAAGCAATAACTGAAGCATCTGGGGAATTCCAACAGAGTGTGTATTAAAATACCCCCCAAAAGTTTACACCAGTCACATTCTGATAAAGTAATTTATCCACCTTCGATTAAAATCCTTCTCATTTCCTGATGGTTAACGGGTTTGGATACTGATTTTAATCCCTATGTATTTGATATTTTAAAGATGTTTAGAAAGGAACTTAAGTGGCTTTAAATATCCCAGGTCCAAGTAATTAAAGAGCTAGCAGATTCAATTTCTAAATCTTCCTACAACTGTCTAACATATTTATTCAGGTGGACACTTTCACTCGTTTATTATCCTAGGGGAGCACTCAAGGGCATAGGACTGCTTGCAGCTATGCTAATTACCAAACCTCTGCTGCTATGCCCCTTCCCACTCCTTCCATCTCTGAAGCAGATTTGAGGATTAGAGAAGGAGAGTTATTCCAAGACCCTTTCCAAGAAAGTTGGTTCACAATGACTTACCATATGCTTCAATTCATTATTCAGCTAACTTCAATATTGGAGGACTCTAACGGTTACTCATTTCAAAATCTCCCCGGTACAGAGATAACTAAGCACGAGAGTGGGTAACCTGCGCTCCCAAGGCCCTCCACTAATTAATGATGAAACAGCCTACAACCAACCGCTGACTCTGAGTACAAGCTCTGAGCCTTGACTACTAAGCATTGTCTGCGAAGCAGCAATGTTGGCCTGTTAGAAGTTCAGAGCCTCAGGCCCCACCTTATTCCCACTGAATCAGAATGAACATTGTAACAGAACCCAGGCAATCCACACACACACACACACCAGTGTTACACTTCAAGGAGCCCTGGGCTGGGCCATGTGTCTCTCTAGAGAAACTAAGAATAGGAGGCAAGCAAACATGATATGAAGCACAGCTCCACTTTTTCTAAACATAAACAAACATCTGAATCTCCCGAAGGCATCATTTGTAATTTAGAAATAATAGCACCGTCCACCATGCAGAGTTTTCACAGTGTATTTATAAATATGCGTTTATGGATGCTATGTGTACAGATAAGAGATGCAAGGTGCCTGGCATAAAGTCACTAATACAGTATACGGTAATGTTATTATTAATGTTACTTCCAGTCTCATGCTTGGCATTTATTCTGCACTTCAACCAAGAAAGCCACTCTTGACTGGACATCTGTGAAGGAGTCACCTCCTCCTCCCCTTGCTCTAACGTGTTATATGTCATTTTAACATTCATCTTCATGGATATGTTAATGACCCTTCACATTCCTACGTAATTATTATTATATGTAGGCAATAAATAATAACACCTATTTTCAGTACTGTGCTGGGAGGTGAAAAAACTTCTCCCAAGGCCAAGTGATCACCCAAAGAACACGAGCTTCCCGTGGCATCTTGCTCTTGAGCCTGCACTCCTGATCTCGAGGAGCCACTGTGCATCTGCCACGGCCACTGCAGTGACTTTCTCAGGCAGATGCTTGACTGCTGTGAGCTGAACCACACCACTGGCAATAAGAGAGCAACTTTAAAGATGACCTGGCATCCAAATCTGAACCAAAATGCGGAAAAATGGGGCAATCTATAGAGTGTGAAACCATACCTCCATTATATTGTAGAGGAGACATTTTGGGGGGAAAATCATTTTAACATCAATCAGAAAACCATGATCCCCTAAGGCACAGACTCACTCCTAGCTAAGCATTAGCAACAAGGGTGCTTTTAAAAATGGAGTGCATATTTCTAAAGGAGCAACCTGGAGCTCAGACTTCCGGGAGCTTCAGGTCTGCTCCGACTCCCAGTTGATTTTATTGTGCAGCCAAGATTGAGAGCCACTGCTCTCATGGCATCAAGTACCTGGTATTGTCTAACAGAGCCAAGGTGCTGAGAGCTACTGGTTGAGATTAATACAGGGCACCCAAACTCAAAGAAATATGTTTAACTTCAGTGTGTGCTTCTTCTAGGTCTTTTTGCCACTCCTCCAGGACTTCCACCATCAGGAAAGAAGCCCCTGGACCATCATCCTTTAAGATGTTCATATGGACCAGTGGTCGGACCTCTTCATCTTACAGACATGACGAGAAAAGGTAAATGCACTGGAACTCTGGGAATTTTTAGAAGATCTAAAAAAGATGGTGACAGGAAAGCAGTAGACAACTGAAGTGGTTTTTTGTAAAGAGGAAAAAAAAACAATGAAAACAATACAGAATTTCAAAACAAGATGATAGGAAATTAGCAGTGGTTATTATATTGCATGTTGTTATTTTCGAAGTAGTTGCTCGGATTACCAGATATAGGCATGTAAGATTGATCAAACAATATAAGCACTAATTGTTTCTTTCAGTGAACTAATAGAAATGGGTACTACAATTATTTTAGCTATCTTGTATGTATATATATTTTCCCTTCCTTCTTTTCTGCTTTCCACCATCCTAATGGAGTATTACTCAGCTATAAAGAAGGATAAACTTGAAACTTTTATAGGTGAATGGATGCAACTAGAGACCATACTCATGAGTGAAATAAATCAGACTTACATGTATAAACATTGTATTGCCTTCCTAGTGTAAGAACCTGAAAGAGTAAATAAGACCCAAAAGGTACAACAGCTGCTGGGGTATGGAAAGAAACTACAACTGAGTTTTATATTTTGAGATGTGGGAATGGACTCTACACTAAAAGGGCATAGTTGCAGACATGTTAGCCTTCCTCTTCCTCACAGTTTATATGCTCCCTCACACTTCATGGCTTTGCAAAGTCTGCTCCTTCTTAGAAATACCCTTCACACACATGTACACACCCACTCTTCACAACTCTAGCTCTGCCTTCACATATCCAATCAGAATACCCACTGCTACCCTGCGCCATCATCCTCTTTATCTAAACAAACATTGTGTTACTCTCTGTTGGCTTTCCAAAACCTGGCAACAGTAGGTGCTCAGGGTAATGATGACATGGTGAGAACTGCATTTCTGGGCGCTGAGAAGATGGTAAGGAAAGAAAGCAGAGGTTGGGAAAAGATCCAAAGACAAGGGAGAAATTCATGGAGCCCCCACATTTCTTGTAAGAAGAGCCTCAAAAGAGGGATGATATAGGCGAATTAAAAGCAAAATAAGAGAGCAGAGATAGTGTTAATGAAAGACAAAATAACAATTATGCAGCTCAATCAAATGCTCTTATTTGTGTTTAAGGAGCTGTCTTGGCTACTTTTCTCTTATTGAGACAAAATACCTGATGCCCAAAAGTAAGGAAGGAAAGGTTTATTTAGCTCACAGTTTGTGATTACAGGTTTCAGTCTGTAATCAGCTGGCTCCAAGGCAGGGTGGCACATGGCAGAGGGCAACAGTTTATGGCACTGGAAAACAGCAAAGGCAGCAAGAGCAAAAGGGGAGGAACAGCAGCAAGCAGCCTCTTTCCCTCTCTTACACTGTATGCGAACTACCCACCCCAGGGTGGGTATAGCACTCATACCCATAATCCCAGCATTGGACCATGAATCAATCATAAACTCTAGAAGCCCACCCTATGACTGCATGAGGCTTTGGGGGGACATCCAGACACAAACCATAACGGAACTAAATGTGTTCATAAAATTCTGTAATCATTTTAAAATATTTTGCTTTTCTCCATTTGTTTTCTTCTTCCACATATCTCTCTATCTCACTGACCTTATGCTAGGACTTGGTGTAGGTGAAGTCAAATTATGAGTAGAACTACCTTTAACAGCATATTACAACTGAAGCAAGTTGCACATCGGACAGAACCTCATAGAAATCAGGACTGATAAATGGTGCTGGGCACCAGGAGAAGGACCTGAGGGATTTGAATATTGTTTTAAGAGCTTTTATTCCTCAGAAAACCTGAAATGACCTACACATTAAAATCCTTTGAACATTTCCAAGAGCAAAGTTGTTCTTCACAACAATGATCTATTACAGTAAAATTTGGAAGCTACTTCAATATTCACAGTGAAAAATCTGTTAATATATAAGACTCTAATACGTCCCTTAGCACCCTAAAATGCCTTTACAGAATATTAACTAAAAAACAGCAAATTAAAAAACTACATACCCAGTATGAGTGAAGCCACCAAAAAAATATACATAGGCAAAAGTCTGGAAGGAAAATTGTGTTTTTCACTTCCCTATTTTCCAAATGCCATGTAGTATGTTATGTTACCTTAATTATGAAAAAAATTATGTAATATATAAGTAAAATTACAGCCTAGAAAGGAACAAGAGTTAAAACAAAGTCCCAGTGTTCATCATGACACCAAGCATAATCTGAAAATTTACTTTCTTTGTTCATATCCAGGCTTTTACATGCTCTTCCTAAATGCTTAGTTGAGTTGTTTTTCATATTGAATCATCTTTCAAGACAACCTTCAATGCTTTAAAATTTCATGTTATTTAAAAATTCTGCAGTTTGCATTCAATTTTCTTATTTTCATTAAAGAAAAAAAAGGCTATTATCAGTAAAGGTCCAGAGACAAGGGACAAATTCATGGAGCCCTCAAAGTCCTTAGAAATCTGGTCCTGCCACTCAGGGGTCAGATCCATGTCCCACAGTTTTGTTTCCCCACAGGAATATCGTGACTGTCAGGATCAGCCCTGCTGAAATGCCAGAGTCTTTCTCAGGCAGATGAATGACAACTTATTCTTTTCACCTTTTATTCACTCTCATCAGATAACTTACTGCAATTTTATATTGTTCTACAAAAGAATTAACATTTAAGAAACAGTTACTAGGTACTATATGTGCTATATACAATATTAATTTGTATGATAGAAATTATTATGCCCACTTTACAGATGAGAAAGTGGAGGCTCTGGGATTTAAATAACTTCAGAGAGTCCAATAACTAACTAGTGATGGAATCAGGATCTGAACCCAAGCTTGTGAGTTCTCCCTGCAGCAGGCAGCATATACAGGCTCTTGTCAAAAAGAAGATATCTGAAGCAGCCATGAACAGCCAACCCTACAGGGAAAACTGTGTTAACATACACCTGAAAGTTGTACATCAAGCATAATGAATATATGATTGATGTATTAGCAATATTAGCGCATTTTAAAGGAGCTAAGGAACTAAATATTAGCTTAGCATTCTACATCAATACCATTCTGTGACACTTAAATTACTGTTTTAATTTTCCTATTTTCAAGGATGTTTTCAGTAACTATGGGATTTAAAATAATTAAAATATTGACTATAAATAAATCACTGTCAACAAGCTTTATTTATGGAGCAAAGATACCAGAGCTTATGAAATCAGTCTGCATAGCTTTGGCCTGTAATGTTAACAGGAGCAAAAGAAAAACCAGCCAACAAATACAAGCAATAGAATCTCTCGCTAAGCCAGCATCCTTAGTTTAACGTTATTTCATTTAATGTCCATGCCCCTTTCCTCTCCACATCTTCATCTTTACTGCCCAGGTCACAAACTCTTGGGAGCTAAGACTCAGTTTTAAAATTGGCTTTGAACAGCAACTGCTATTCTGTTCAAGATGCTCTGGGTGGCAGTAATCACAGTTATAATGAAGATGATGGTGGCCGATAATGAATCAAGATAATTAAGGTCTTCAAGTTGATCACTTAGAAATAAATTAGACTGTCCGACAGCACTGCCCCAAGTTGCTGTTGATTGCTCACCCTCAGTTTCTCCTCCTGTAAACCTGACCTCTGTACATACCCAGTTTCTCGAGCTGGGTCCTGCAGCTATCCTAGAGGCCAGGCAACTAAAATCCTCTGCTCCACACAGCCCCTTCCTGATCCCAGAGCCAAACTGTCAGGATATTGGGTTCTGCGGAATTCCTGAAACGGTAGAGCCCCAAGAAACCAGCGTAAGGGCAATCTCAGAAACTAAGTGGAAGAAAATGTTCACTGCAAATTCTGAAGCCGTATGTTCTATTCCTTGGAAGAAGTTGAAGCCAGCTCTACCTTCTTTCTCATCATTTTAATTGTAAGCCAGCCCTTTGTCTGATCATCTGCTGTGTGCAAAACACTAGTTTTGTATCGTCATCCTCTGTTCCACCAGATCAACAATATGAAAGAATGTTGTTTTCTTCTCTAAAGAACTTTCTTGCTAAGTGAGCTTGCTTTAATCCCTAAATGGCAGGTGCAAAATAAAACAACAGCAATAATTCCTTATTTAGATCAGAAAAAAGAGAAGTTGTTGAGCTAAGAACATTGCAAACTGAATGTTTATCTAATATTCTTTGGTTTGTTTTATTAAATACTGAACTGATACAAAGAAATATTTATCACATGTATGGACATACAAAGAATGATGTCATGAACATCTGTGTGTTTGTTATTAAAAAAGAAGCACTTAGAATTTTTGAAGCCTATGGGAGTACATCCCTAATAGCATCCTAACCCTTTCCTGTCCCGTACTCAGAGATAACCATTATCCTGGGTTCTGTGTTCACCATTCTCTTGCTTTTCTTCGTGACTTTATGAGGTTTGAGTCTTAAGTGGTACATTTACTTCTAAATCTTTGGGGGCTTTATGTAAAGGGAGTCATGCCATATGTATTTTCTTTCAATCTGTTTTTATCACCAAACATAGATCACTATGATTTACCAATGCTGATGTCAGTGATTATAGTTCATTCTCTGCTGTGTAGTATTCCATGGTATGACTATATCATGATTATTCATCCTACTAATGGATATTTGCATTATATTCACTTCTTTCATCATGGTCAGCAATGTTGCTATAATACTTCTTGTTCATGTTTCCTTGGACATATGTACAAGCACTTCTTTGGACACTGTACCTAACATGGGAATTGTTGGTTCAAAAGTTCATGCACTTTCAACTTTACCAAGTAATACAACTGCAAAAGTGGCCACAAATGTGATTCCCATTGCTCTATAGACTTGTGTGCTGTGTGCAAGGTTTTTTTCTTCATTCTAGAAGGTACCATGACTTTAATTCTAATCTCTAAGATTAGTAATGGTACTGAGTTTCTTTTCTTTTTTTTTTTTTTTTTTTTTTTTTTTTTGGTTTTTCTCCGGTACCGGGAATCGAACTCACGACCTTGCGCTTGCCAGGCAGGCGCTTTTGCCACTGAGCTAAATCCCC